TTTACGCTACGGGATGTAGGGATAGATTCCGGTCCGTCCCAGACGACGATTTGGTGTTAGCATAGGGCCTGGAGTGTGTTTTCTCTGGCTATTTAGCACAAGGACGGGGAGCCGGCATGGGGCCTGGGGGTTATCAGACAATTCACTAATAATTATTATATATACAAGTTATGATTTGAGACACTGCACGACATGCTAGGTTTCGGAAAACCTATGTTGATCATTATATATGTGTTTTCATAAAACCTGGGGGTTAGTACGTTGATAACTGTTTTACTATTTATATATCAAATTGGTCCACTCATGTTTGTTTTGCGCCCCCTTCAGGGCTTAGAATCGAGGCATACAATCCCAATGTCAAGGCACTTCCACATTGGCATCTTCGAGTCTTCTTGGTGTAAGATCCATTTTTTTATTCATTCAATTTTATATTATTTCTTTTAGTATTCTAGTTAGTTGTATGCTCTGAACACGTTCCTTAAATGCATATTCCTCATTCTTTTACAATTATAAGTTTTATCTATTCCTTGTTTTCAGCATTTGCACTAAATAAATGGCTTTCGTCACCCTTGAGTGTCGGCCAGCACGTGCCTATCCTGGTATTCGGGGAATATCGGGGTCGGGGAATATCGGGGTCAGGGAATATCGGGGTCGGGGCATGTCAGAAAAGAGGGGGAAAAGGTGGAAGGAAGACAAAAGGAAACAGAAGGAAAAGGCGGAAGAAAAGAATGAAAGGGAGAAATTGAAAAATAGAGTAAAAACAGAGATAACAGATGTAGAGGGGTTTGAGTGGCAAACAGGCCACTGGGCGGGGGTAGAAGGAAGACAAAGGAGGATGAAAATCAACAAGAGAAGAAAATAGAAGAAGAAAAGGAAAATAGAAGAACATAGCAGAGAAGGGGAAAATAGAAGAACATAGCAGAGAAGGGGAAAATAGAAGAAAACAGAAGAAGAAAATGAAAAGTGGCAACCAACTCCAGCCGAAGCCGGAGTCGATGCTTGAGAAGGTGGACAAGTTGAAGACCCTCACCAAAGGGGGAAAGAAAACTCTCACAGAGGAAAGAAGGTCTCTCACGGAATGAGAGATTCACTTCTTCCCCTTCTTTAGATTAAAGTAATTTGGTGTCCATTGGTTTCTCAAGTGGAGATGAGGGAGAGAGAGATCGAGTTGGGAGTTTGGGAGATGAGGAGGGTAGGATTGCCATATTGAAAATTTCATTAATGACTACGGTTAACCTGTGTTATAAAATAGCTGGTTTTTTTAAGGGAGTTTTAACGAAACACTTCCGGTATTGTTCACTTAAATGAAAACGACAATTTTACTTTAAAAAGTCACTTTGACACTATTCACTTACAACACTTTTTTGTCATTTCGATTAAAGCTTAAAATTTTCAAGCCATTATCATTAGTTTTCCTATTTTAAAAAACATCTATGAGAGATGCTTTTAATAGAAATTTCCAAGGCCTAACTTTGAATATAATATTCCAGATGAAATAAGTCGTTTCTGCCAGGTGTTGACATGTGTCATGTTTGATGACTTTTCCAACTTATTTAGATTTTTTGTTTAGACACACGCTACGCGTAAAATTTATGTAATACATGAGCGTTGAAACTTTGATTTATCGGTCAACATTTATTTACTGAAATTTCGATGTCTACAGAAACACTTAAAATAATTGCAAGAGTACAAGGTAGTTGTAGTATAGCAGCTCAAACAAAGTCGTTCTCCACAGGGATTGAATGAATAATTTATATTTAAACTAATCCTTAGCTAATTATTTGTAACAAAGTTTCGAAAATGTCGATTTTGGAATTTAAAATAATAAAAACAATTAAATAATTTGCAAAGTAAAATGAACTAAAAAGAAAACGATTTTAAAAATCAATTTAAGCACTAAAGTTCCGCCGTCACCATTAACAATCCTATGCAATTTTATGAATTACATATGAAATTCTACATACATGCTTTGAAGGTTAGGTTTTCCTAATATATATTTTCCTCGTGATGTTTGAGCGAAAACGTATATCTAACATGCAACTCATCTGTGATGTTCAAATCAAATATAAACATGCAAGCCTCATTAAGTTTTGTGAAAACCTTTTGAAAAACCAAGCAACCCTTAAGAGCGTGATGTTCACCTTAACTGAACGTACAATTACTAATCACAAGAAGCCATCCTCAATTTCAAGGTGATGTTCCAACATAAATTGCATTAAATTACTTGTCTAAATACCCTAATGGTCGCAAATCACTAAGACAATTAGATAGTTTAAACACGATAATTAATAATTCAAAGCAATCATACATTCATTCATAAGCAAATTAATAAAATCACATATTCATGTTAAGACTCATGGTCTCGCCCTAGCAAAAAGACTAGTTTCACATAATCATAATAAAAACTAAAGAAAATATCATTAACTAGAAAAATAAATGAAAACACCTTGTAGGTAAAAAATCTGAAATTTCCTAAAATAATGCGTCTCTCCAATCCTAATGGCTAAATAACCTTAATTGTACTACTAGAAAAAGTCTTCTAAAAACTAGGAAACATAATAGAATAAGATAACTTGAAAATACATTCATATTTTAACTTTGGAAAATCTGTCCATCCACAAAGAATCCCACATTTCTGCATCTTTAGGGCTCCAAAACAGGCCCAAAACAACTTGAATTAAAGATTAAGACGTCATTTTCAAGTTCCAAGAAGATCACAAGTCCAAAATTCATCATCTTGTAGCCCAAAAAGTCGCAAGTAAGCTCTATAGTCCGATTTGCCAGCATTGCGTGCTGGTATAAATTAATTCGCCGAGATCAGATGCTTAAGGATAAAATTACGAAATTTTGAACAACCTTCTTGACAGAATCACGAACCCACTTCAATTGGAATCACTCAAAAATTTCACCATTTGATTACTTAATGCTCAGAACAAGTTCGCACGTCCTACATTGAAAATAATACAAAGCATCAACATTTCACCAAAATAATAACCAAAATATACCAAGAATGGGAGCAAATATATAGTATAAAATCAAGGGAGACTTTGGATGTGGTCCCTAGTTATGAACAGTCTTTGACTGAAACCTTGTTGGTTTTCAATTTTTGATCCAAGTCCCTGAAATTAATTGATAATTTATTTCTATGTACATTACTATATTTTTAAATTAAAAATTAAAATTTATAGTTGTTTATAGTAATGAGATTTTAAATAAAAAACCATAATTTGTGGGATTAAAAATATTAAAATATAAATATACTATTGTGTGTGTGTGTGTAAACATGGGTACATTCATAAAAAATAACCAAAAAATTATTGTATCAAAACATGGGTACATTCTTCAAAATAGGTACATTTAGCAAAAATAAAAATGGGTACAAATAAATAAAAAAGTATGGGTACAATACAAATAAAACTTTAAAAAATATGGACACAAAAAGAAATTAATATATGGGTACAAATTAAAACTGAAAGGAAAATTGGTACAAATTAAAAAAGGGTTGCAAATTAAAATGGGTACAAATTAAAAAAAAAATATGATAAAAAATTTAGCCATAAATATAAATATACTAATTGTAACATTTTTAATATTAAATGAATATATTTAGAAATAAAAAATATTTTATTATTGAAATAATTAATGATATTATTAATACAAAGGACCTTGATCAAAAATTGAAAAGTAATAAGGTTTTAATCAATAGAGTAGTAAAAATAGGGATGAAAACCTAATTACTCCTAAAATGAACTCATCAGTTACCACTAGAATAATGTAATAGACGACATGTGCTATACACACTAATTAATTTGGTCATTATACTACACATTTAAGCTAAAAACCGTAGTATAACAGCATACGAAATGTTATAAAGTGATGGATATATCTAATACATGACAGTAATACACAAAGGTTGTTTGGTAATAGCCGTTGTCGGATGCAAATATGTATGACGGTGAAAAAAATCGTTGTGGATTAACTTTATACTATGACACACTTGAGCACAACAATTTTGTGAACGACGGTATTTCACCGTCGTCCAGTTACTTTTTTTTTTATGATTATAAATCTTGATTCCACTGGTTTTGGAATGGTAACGATGATCTAGTAGAAAATTGGAAAGTAATGTAGTTACATTTTGTTAGAACCAAAAAGGATGGCAAAGAGCTTTTGTAAAAGCAGTCTGATTACAGTTGTAAACTGGGAGAATTCTTATTGAATTGAAATAACATTTATGGTTATTAAATAGCCTTACAATGAAATAGGAAAGGAAACAACAACCCACGATTTTACAGGGCTTAGAATCTGTTAAACATTAAAGTTGATATTTTGGAGAATCTAAATAGCCATGTATTTTTTGTTTTTTGTTTGTATGTGCTGGCAGTGTCTAGAATTATCTTTTTGGGTATTATTTATTAGGTCCAGCTTTATTGTCTCTTAAAGAGAAAAAGAGGAGTCTTTAGAAAGAAACGAAAAGTCACTAGTTGTGCCTTTCCTCCTCCCTGTACCAGATCTTTTTTGTGTGTGCAGAAAATAGAAGTTGGAGTATTTTTTTATTCATCTCTTTAGCTTGTTCTTCTTTACATCTTTGTGTGTTGATCTTGGGCTAGTGTATTGTATTACACTATTGTTGTTATTTACAGAATCGTGGTGCATGACTAAGTCAGAAATGGAAAAACAATCTTGTCCCTCAAGTATAAGAGGGATTATATGTAGGGCTGGAAAAAAATCCCAAAAATCCCAAACCAAACCAAAAAAATCCCGATCCCAAACCAAAAAAATCCCAAACCAAAATTCCCGAAATTTTCAGGATGTCATCCCGAACCAAACCGAAATTTTCGGTATGGGATTCGGTACTGCATCTCCATTTTTCGGTATTCCCATACCGAACCGAAAAAAAATTATATATATATTATTTTTTAATTGTAAGAGAATTATTTCAACCATTGATTATTTTGGATTTAATATGTGCCGTTGATTTGTTTTTAGGTCAGATCCAAATGGTACTCTACTCTTTCCGTTCATTTGTTTCCATCCATTGAAGTCTCGAAACGCAGCCCTCCCTCACCGAGCCCTCATCTCTCATCTAATCTCTCATCGAACTCGAAGTCACTCTCACGGTCTCACCTCACCCCAAATTAGGTAATTAATTTAGTGTTTTGAAACCTAATTTATGTCTTCCTTTTGAAATTTAATTTAGGGTTTGAATCTTGAATCTTAATTTCTGTCTTCGTTTTGAAACCTAATTTCAATCTTGAATCTTCCCTTACTGGTTTCAATTTTGAAGAGTGAATGTTTTTATGCGCTGCATGTTTGCAGGATTACCAGATTGCTGCGGCTACCAGGATTACCAGGTTTATGCGCTGCATGTTTTTTGCAAGTCTCATCCTCTCCCAAATGAAATTGGTATGTAGAAGGGATGTATGGGGAGAAAATGCAATATCTTTCGATGTTTGAATAAATACGACAAAAAATTTGATTGAGTATCAGTGAAAAGCTTGCAGTAGGATCATCTTCAGATTGTGAATATGTGTGTTCTACGTTTAAATACTCTATTGAGTCCCAACTGCTTACCTGTACATAATGCATTATGCAGTGGCTCCCCAGAGACAGAGCATTGTGGATGGAATGAGGATGATAGCACTCAAACTTGAATTTGGTGTATCCCACAATCAGATATTTGAGAGGTATTTTTCTTTTATTTTGTTCTACTTTTTGTTCTTATCTTTCAAAATTGTAGATGTCTTTTATTGATTATTAATTTGTGCAGGACCCTAGCAGTGCATTTTACAGATCCTTTCCATGTGAGCAAACGGGTTGCAGATAAATGCAATGATGGTACTTTGCTTCTCTAGGTATGTGTGATATGGTTTTCAAAACTACACTTCTGTATGTAACTTTACTTATGCATCCCTGGCTAGGTGATTAGATAATAAGACGTGAAGTGTGTGACATCCTATTCCTATGTGTTGAAACATGGAAATTGTTTCTGTTTCACCAGATGGATATTAATCACTTACTTTCTGATGCAGGGTGTTGATCCAAGTATTCGAGCTGAAGTGTGGCCGTTTCTTCTTGGAGTGTAAGTATTTTCATATCTATGCGATTGCTTTAATGCTTCAAGTTTTGTATGTGTTATATGAAAATTAGTTAGTATACGATTTTCAAATTTTCACCCTGGTTTTTATTTGCTTTGTAGTTCAAATACACGATATATGCTCAGATTTTTCTATGTTGAATGCTCAGATTTTATTTGCTTTGTAGTTCAAATACACGATATATGCTCAGATTTTTCCATGTTGAATGCTCAGATTATTGATTGGAATTTGGATATATGCTGAACTGTGGTTGTGATATATATTAATGTGCATTGTTATTTTATTTGTTAAGTAGGATGAACGGGTCTAGTAGCCAATCTAGTGCACATATGGTCTCGGTATTAGGGGCCGAAGAGGCCAACAATCTTCATAAATTTTAGGCTTTGTTTTTTTGCTTTTGGTTTGTAACTTAATTATTGAAACTTTGGCTTGGAACTAATTTTTTTGCTTTTGAGTTTGTTACTTTATTTATTTTAAAACCTTGACTTGTAACTAATATTTTTGCTTTTCGATTTGACTTGTTGTACGTCACTATGGGCTGTTGAATATATTTGGCAAATTGCTTTAAAATAGATTTGTACACAGATTTGACATGTGTAGTAGAAATAAAATTGTTTTTTGTTGAATTAGGTTAAGCCCATATGGGCTGTTGAATTGAGTGACTATACAATTGGACATATTCATTACTAGGCTGGGTGGACAGATTTTGGGCATGGCCCAATATTGGCTTTTTGTCCAAAAGCCCAAAACCATTTCGGGATTCCCGATTTGTCCCGAAATCACGAAACTATTTTGGGATTCCCGAAAATTTGGTTTGGGATCGGTATTGAAATTGAGATTCCCGAAAATTTTGGTTTGGGAATCGGGACAAGGGTTTCGGTATGGGATCCCATACCGAACCACCTCTAATTATATGCATGACTTGAATCAAACCCTAAAAACAAGGAACCCTAACCCTAATGGGTAGGAAGTCCCAACAACTTTAACATCATCCATTAAGCTGAATGTCATTGGCAATCAATTGATTCCAGGGTATTCGCAAACACCCATTCAACCTCGCATCTTCGAAAACATTTCAAGCTACAATGGTTTTGTCAAGATATCTACAATTTGCTCCTGAGTAGAACACTATATTAGCTCCACTACTTCATCTTGGACAAGATCACGAAGAAAATGAATATGGACATCTATGTGCTTGCTACGGCCATGCATCACTGGATTCTTCGAGAGTTTGATGGCTGAAGTACACTACCGTAGGATTGGATTGCACATGATTTAGAATTTTCAAAATTCTTCTCTGGCACACAACTTCATACACACTTGATGCTGCAACAATAAACTCTGCTTCTATGGTGGAAAGAGTAACTATGGGCTGTTTCTTTGAAGACCAAGACACTGCACCCGAATTCATCATAAAAACATAACTTGAAGTGCTCTTTTTGTCATACTGATATCCAGAATAAGCGTTGTCTATGTAGCCAAAGAGCTCTTCATCTCCTCATTTCTTAAAGACACCCCAAAGCTAGTTGTGCTCTTCACATACCTTAGAACTCTTTTTGCTGCCATCAAATGAGTCTATGTGGGACGTTCCATGTACATACTAGTTAAGCTTACAACAAACATTAAATCAGGACATGTGGCAGCTAGATACATAAGATTTCCCACCATCTACTTGTAAACCTTGTCATCGACTCCCACTCATTATTCATCCCTTGTAAGCTTAAACCCAAAAACCACTAGATTGTGCACTGAGTTGCACTAGTCCATATTAAATCTCTCCACAAGTTCTTGAGCGTACTTCTGTTAGCTAATAAAGATGTTATCTAATATTTGCAACACTTCAATGCCAAGGAAATATCTCATTTTCTTGAGATTAGTCATATAAAATTCAACCATCGTGGACTTCTTAAATTGTTCGAACATAACTTCATCATTGCCAGTAAATATAAGATCATCAACATAAAGACACTTTCAATAATTTACCTCCATCCGTTGTTTTAATGAACAGAGTATGCTCGTAGGACATTTGTTGAAGCCTTCCTTAACAAAGTATGACTCTATACGACTGTACTAGGCTCAGGGAGCCTGTTGAGTTCATACAAAGCCTTCTTGAGCAAATAGACCTTGGATTTATTCCCCTTTTGTTCATAACCAGGAGGTTGATCGACAAACACCTTTTCATTAATTTCTCCATGCAGAAAGGCTGATTTGACATCAAGTTGGTAAATCAACCAACTTTTCTGAGTAGCAAGGGAAAGTACAATTCGAATTGTATCCAAGTGAGCCACTGGTGTGAACACTTCAGCATAATCTACCCATATTGTTAGATGTATCCCTTAGCGAATAGCCATGCCTTATACTTGTCGACTTCCCTATGCTCATTGAGTTTTGTTTCAAGACCCACTTCACTTCAATGGTTTTTGCCCTAATGGTAGATTCGTTAGTTCTCACATCTCATTCCTCTTTATAGCTTCAATTTCTTGATCCATAGCTTACCTCCATTTTTCACAATATCCTCAAATGTCTAGGGATAACTGTCAGTGAACAAAGCTAGATGAGCTATGTTTACACCTTCTTCATCAAAGAAACCTTGACCAGTTTCATAATCTCCCATCCACACTGGTGGTCTTCGTGTTCGTCCTTTTGTGAGGTGAGTTGTCATTATTCAAGGTGTCTTCTTCTTCTAAAAAGTCACTGCTATCAGTCCTACCGTCCTCCAATTCTTCATTAGCTTTAGACTCATCTCCATTGCCTTTATCTTTTATACTTGCTTATTCGTTAGTTTCCCATTCAAGATCAGCCAATATGGCTTGCTTGTGACTGCATCCATACTCCATTTTTTATCTTCCTTAAAGACCACATCTCGGTTTACAATTATTTTGTGAAATGGGATCAATCTGCCTGTAAGCTTTAGACTCTTCACTTACTCCAAGTAATATGCATTTGAGACTCTTGGCATCAAGCTCCACTCTCTTGTTGTCAGGTATATGAGCATGGATATGCATCCAAAGATTCTGAAATGCTCCACTAATGGTTTAAGTCCGCTCCAACCTTTTTAGGTATTTCTCTCTTCACAGCAAGGGTCCGACTTCTATTCAGCACATGAACCATCCAGTTTACAGCTTCATACCAATAAGTTTTAGAAATTTTCTTCTCAGGCGACATGCTTTGTACCATATTCATAATGGTTCGATTTTTCCTCTCGGCAACACCGTTTTGTTAGGGAGTATATGTAGTCGTCAATTGCATGTGTATTCCATTCTTATTACAGAAGTTTGTGAATTCTTATAATGTGAACTCGCTCTCACGATCTGTTCTAAAACTCTGTATGAATGCTCTAGTTTCATTCTCGACCCTGGCTTTGTAGGTTTTGAATGTGGCAAAGGCTTCTGATTTTTCTACCAAGAAATAAACCCAAGTTTTTCTACTGAAATTGTTAATAAAGGTGATGAGATACCTTTTCTTGCTGTTCGAGATTGGATTTATCAAACCATATATATCAGCATGCACCAATTGAAGAATTTTGAAGGCTCTCTATATACTTTCCTTTGGGAATGGATCATGGTGTTGTCTTCCCACCAAACAGTCTTCACATATTCTCTAAGTAGCTTTGAACTGAGGTTACCCTTCAATCATCTTCTTTTGTTGAAGTACTTTGAGTCCATTCCAGCTAAAATGTCCATATTGACAGTGCTAAAGCATGGCTTGATTTGTGGTCTGTGAGGAGAAATATTTTTGCTCTCTTAGTGGACAGCGAGCAAGCACATCAAGCAAACATTCTATTATATGTTATCTCAGGATGAAAGATCTTACATTTTCCATGTTGAATAAGCACAACGAGTCTCTTCTCTTGTAGTTGCTCGATGCTTAACAAGTTGTTCTTCAGTTCTGGTACAAAGAAGACTCATGTGATCACATGTGCAATCTCATTCACCTTTATTTGAACCTTGCCTTTACTTCGTACAATAAGGCTCGAGTCATTTCTCAGCTTCACAGACTCTCTGAAATTTCTATCAAATTCAAAAAATATGTCTCTTTTGCCACACATATGGTTGCTATACCCAGAATCAAGGAACCAAATGTTCTCTACTTCATCTTTTTTAAAGTCCACATGGACCATCAACAACATCTCTTCTTTTGTTTCTGCGTAGTTTGCCTTTGGATCCCTTGCTTTCCTTGGACACGTCCACTGAAAATGCCCTAACTCATGACAATTATAGATTGTAATGTAGATTTCTCAAACTCAAATCTACCTCTACCTCTTCCTCTTCCTCTTCCTTTTCCTCTTCCTCTTCCACGATAAGTACTTTGACCTCCACATTTTCCTCCTTGCTAAGCTACATAAGTGACTTGCAGTGCTTGTTCATCCGGCTGATTCTTTGTTCATGCACCAACAGGTTACTCTGAAGCTCGTCTATAGACAAGGTTCATTCGATTCCTCAATCAAACACACAACATAATCATATTTTGAAGTCATAGACCTCAAGATCTTCTCAGTGATCACCACATCCTCCATTTTCTCTCTGTGAACCTCATTTTATTAGCTATGATGAGAGTTCTTCCAAAGTAGTCATTGACTTATTCCCCAGCGTTTATGTGTATCACTTTAAACTCTTCACAAAGAGCTTGCAATTGGGCACACTTGACACATGCCGTTCCTTGATATTTCTGCTTCAAAGAATCTCATATATCCTTCGCGGTATCCTTCTTCAAGCACCACCACCTAACAATCTTCATCTCAAATCCTAGGCTTGGACGAGATCCTTCTCTCTTCCTTTTTCTTTTCCTTTGCACAGTAGTGCCTTTACTATGCATCCCTTTCTTTGGCAAGTTATCACCGTTTTCGGCGAAGGTAAGCCACGAACTCCTTCGATCTTCCTCCCTCGTGGTCTAAAGTATTTGTTTGATGATAAATAATGACTTTGGTGAATGGTTTAATCACAAAAACTGCTATGGGAATTTTTTTCCATATTCGGGGAAGTGGGAGACCGTGACTGTTTCGCCACTTTCAAGCCATTTTTCAAGCCAGCTCCGATCCTCATTGGGCCTCGAAAGGGTATAAATCTCTTCCCTACATTTCTAACTTTACATAGGATCTTGAATCACTTGATTTGTGGTTGTATCGAGCTCGGAATTAGCTCTGGGAGTTAAATGAGAAACCTGCAAAAATTGCAGAAATTGTGAGATCCCACATTGGCCAGGGGAGTGGATCATCTATGCCTTATATGTACATTCTCACCTCTAATTGGCACGAGGCTTTTTGGGTGCTCACTGGTTTCAGGTTTCATCGAAACTCCGAAGTAAAGCGAGTTCGCGCGAGAGCATTCCCATGATGGGTGACCCACTGGGAAGTTCTCATGTGAGTTCCCAAAAAAAAACTGTAAGGGCGTGGTCGAGGCCCAAAGCAAACAATATCGTGCTACGGCGGAGGTGGGGCCGGGGATGTGGTGAGAGCCCGGGTCGGGATGTGAAAATTTGGTATCAAAGCCAATCCCTGGCCGGAAGGGTGCCGACGAGGACGTCAAGCCCCTAAAGGGGGTGGATTGTGAGATCCTACATCGCCCAGGGGAGTAGATCCTATATGCCTTAAATGTACATTCCCACCTCTAATTAGCAAGAGGCCTTTTGTAAGCTCACTGGCTTCGGGTTCTATCAAAACTCGGAAGTTAAGTTAGTTCGTGCGAGAGCATTCTCATGATGGGTGACCCACTGAGAAGTTCTCGTGTGAGTTCCCAAAAACAAAACCGTGAGGGCGTGGTCGGGGCCCAAAGCAAACAATATCATGCTACGGCGGAGGCGGGACCCGGGATGTGGTGGAGGCTCGGGTCAGGATGTGAAAATTTGGTATCCAAACCAATCGCTAGCTGGAAGGGTGCCAACGAGGACGTCGGGCCCCTAAGGGGGGTGGATTGTGAGATCCCACATCGCTCAGGGGAGTGGATCCTCTATGCCTTATATGTACATTCCCACCTCTAATTAGCACGAGACCTTTTGGGAGCTCACTGACTTCGAGTTCTATCGGAACTCCGAAGTTAAGCGAGTTCGCGCGATAGCATTCCCATGATGGGTGACCCATTGGGAAGTTCTCATGTGAATTCCCAGAAACAAAACTATAAGGGCGTGGTCGGGGCCCAAAACGGACAATATCGTGCTACGGCGAAGGTAGGGTCAGAGATGTGGTAGGGGCCCTGGTCGGGATGTGACATAAGGCGAGTATAGCGTACTCGTGGGCTCGTGAAGCACACGGGCCTCCACTAGGGGTACTATGGATGGCGTTGCCGATGATTTTTCCGGCCAACTTTCTAGTAACCCAACTTAGCACGTGGTGACTCGGGCCGTCACCCCGTGGCGGCGCATGCGATGGCGAGTAGGGAAACCCAAGGTCTTTCCTTTGGTTTTTCGACATGCCAAATTTGAATCTGCCATTCGTTTTACCAAAGTTTGTCGTTTTAGTAGAGTTTTAACAAATGGTCCCTAATTGTGTTTAGGTGCGTTGGTTTGAAGTGATCCCATCCTTCGTAGTTCGAATGGCTCTTCGGTAGCATAATATTTGTGAGTGGACCCCTTCTCAAATTACATGTTTTTATAAAAATATTAGGCTTGCATTCATGGAAGGCATATATTTATAATTCTACATTTCATGAATTAATTATGTTTTATGATAAGTTTATGAATTTCTAAATTTATGTTTTACGAAGAATTTATGATTTATTTAATTTGTTTTTTGAAGTATTTACGATTTATCAGTTTAAGGTTTATGAAATTTTATGCTTATGAAAATCATGTTTATGGAAATGCTTATGATTTCTGATGATGATGTTTTGAGCCCTAAGCTTTGGTATGAGATTTTGAATTACATTTTATGTGCTTAATTAGTGGGTAATCATACAACATATACACACAACACGAGTATGTATACGTTTATGGCCATAGGACACAATGGAGGAATAGTGAGATATTTACAACATACTCCTAACTTCACTGGCGAAACCAATGTCGGACAGCTTCACCTTTGAGTGATGGGACCTACCATGTTTCTTCACTGGCGTAACCCAGTGTCGTACAACTTCACCCTCAGGTGATGGATATGCATTCGAGCAACTACGATGCCCCTATATAAGTACATTAGTATTTTGATTTACGAGCTCTTTTAGTTTTGTCTTTGGGCGATTTCAATACCACTTTTAGATATGATTTTATTATCTATGAACGTTTTCGTGGCATGTAGAGTTTCGGGAAAAACCTATTACGTATTATTATATTGTTTTCAAAACGGGGGGTTAGTATGTGCAAAAAGAAAACGGTTTTCTTATTATTACTATTATTATAAACTCTGGTCCACTAACCTTTTGTTTTTGTGCCCCCTTCAGGACCTAGTGACGAGAAATACGACTCGAGCATCGAGGCATTTCCCTTCTAGTGATCTTGTTTTCTCCTCACTACGCATGACCTTTTTATGTATAATTGTAACTTTATGTCTTTCATTTCGCTAGCACTATTGTTTAGTAGTATGCTCTGGACATATTCATGCATCCTTTGTTTCGAATTGTTAACAGTTGGATATTCTCCTTTTATTATGACTAACGTTATATTATTATCATTTCTTTAGCGTTTGTATATTCTTTATGATTATTGTTTCTCTTTTGACTTTTTGATTGCATGCTTCCTTGTGTTCATGCATATTCATATAATTATGGCTTTTGTCATGCTCGAGTATCGGTCAATACATGTCATGCATGTGTCATTTGGATATCTGGGTTGTGGCGTGTCCATCAAACCTCGGAATGGCAGGTTGCACGAAGCTACTCTCGGATGCCATGTATTTTGTTCCTTCAAGCTAGTAACTATGTTGCAGGCTTTGATCAAGCCCCATGATGGGGCTCTGATACTAGATGTTAGAATAAAAAAAGGATAGAAAAGAGCTCTTGTAAACGCAAAGTCTGATTACACTTGTAAATTGGGAGAATTCTTATTGAATTGGAATAACACTAATGGCTGTTAAATAGCCTTACAATGAAATAGGAAAAAAAAACAACCACCCACGATTTTGCATGGCCTAGAATCCCTCCTATACTCGAGGGACAAGATTGTTTTTCCCTTTCTGACTTTGTCATGCACCACGATTCTAGGCCATGTAAATTATTTTTAAATTATGTGCTTCTTGAGGTCGTGGATCCTTGTTTCCCCGTTGAGTATTTGACTTAGAGAGTTAAAAATAGGGATGCAAACTACTACGCCTACAATTACGGCACCAATACGAGATGGCAGAGAAGCAATAACGGAACCATCGTTGCCAAAAAAAAAATAGTTAACCATACTTTGCCCGGGCCGCTTGGGCTCCACTGCTATCAGGGCTGCACAAAATGCCACCAACATGCCAGCAATGGAATAACTAATAAGACTCGTAGGTGTGGGTAGATGGGTTGACAGGACAGATATAGGACTGGATTCATTAAATATCGCCGACACTGAGAGAGCGAAGCAAAGCGTGTTAAAAAACATAAATACTTTGTAAGCTCCTTCTTTTGTTAAAACTGGTGTTCCATCGTCTTTAAACCCTCCTGGCGGGTTCAAAACGGCCGTAAATGTAACGGTTGCAATGACCGTCGCTACCAGAAGTTTCGAATCATTTCTTTTGAAGGTCTGAGCCAAATAAGCCTGCAAGTTTTCTCTCGTATTTGTAGTATTGACCAGTGTCTCAGACGTACTGCTTTCCCCTTGGGATCCAAATTTCTTGAACTCCTGCTTGATTTTTTGTTGATAATATGGCACGGTAACGACAACGTCTCTTGCCAGGCAGTTCAAAACATTGCGACTTTTTACGATTTCCTAAAACATAAATAAAGAACTACACTTTTAGTAAACATATACAGGACTTAAAAACAATAAGGGAACGAATTTGGATTTAGATATGTTCTACGTTTGATTCTATCCGATATAAGAAAATAAAATAGAGAGTTCAAAGTTGAAATCCAAGGGAAATAAATAAAAGATTTGCGTACCTTTCTTCCCGTGTTCTCGGCGAGCAAAATGTCGCTAACTTGCAAAAATTCTTTATTGATAGCAGTTCTGTTCAACCTCCTGTCTCTCCTTAAAATAGCAACGATTTCACTATTTTCATGAATAGCAGCTAGATGCCAAGGAGTGTTTCCATCATTATCTGCTTCGTTTATAAGTCTCGCAAGCCTAGGCGTCTTCAAAACGTACTTCACAACATTTATCTTTTCGCCTAAAACTGCTGCATGTAGAGCTGTTTGGCCCTTGTGATTGACACAATCACAAATATCAGGACAACGTCCGATCAACTCTTCAATTATTTGGGTGTGCCCTGCATATGCCGCGACGTGGAGAGCTGACATGCCAAGCTCGTCTTTGATGTAACAAGCAAATTTGAAAGTTTTGCAATTTTGAATCAGTAGTTGAGCTGCTTTAAGGTTCCCTCTCAGTGATGCGTAGTGTAATGGAGTCCACCCTATTTCATCACGAACTTCGACCATCCCAGGATTTTTGGTAACCATAGATTGCACAATTCCTAAAATGTTGATATAGAAAAATTAGAAATTGTGTTGTGGGAATCAAGTATATATATGAAAATAAGGCATACCAAGTAACGGTAGCTGGACTGAGATGCATATCTCAATCATTAAGGATATATTATCGACTGTCAATATGTCATACTCAATAACTAAGTTGATGGGATTCCGTGCATAAGAAGGGTCTAGTACGGTAGTACAAAGTAATGTCATGAAGTTAATTACCTTTCTTGGCGAAGGGTATACGAGTGGCTGCTGCGTGCAAAGCGGTCACACCATTTGTTCCCTGAAAAGAAAGAGATTCATGATCCGGAGTCTTTTTTAAAATATAATCAGCAATGCTGGTAGACCCGGCTCTAACAGCTAGGAACAGGGGTGACTCCCTGGTGCTGTAAAATGAACAACACAATTCAGGATCAGCACTCAGCAAAATCTTCGCTACTCCAGCATGATTGTATCGAACAGCAACATGCAGTGCTGTATCCATTTCCAAATTCGGCATTCGGAGTAGTTTTTTGTAAGCTTCACCGTCAGTTGGTGCCTTTTCTGGATCAAGATCAACCACTTCCATAGGTTCCGCTTTTGTGTGCTCAATGAGGAACGTTACTACTTCACCGCAACCTACTCTCGCAGCAACATGTAGAGGAGTTTCGCCATTCTTGTTGGTGGCCCAAAACCGGGGAGATTCGGGATTTTTTTTCACTTTTTTGAAGAAGTTTATTTGCTTGAATTCAGCTGCAATGTGAAGAATATTGTTCTCTTTAGGTGTTTTCTGAGAGAGATCAGCTGTTAGAAGTCCTTCCAAGAAGCCAACATCACCAGTTGCAGCTGCTTCATACAGAGAAGGATTCATGCCTTCCACCTCTCTCTCAGATTTCCTATAAAGTATAAAGTTGAAATAAGAGCACAAATGCAAATTGCAATGGAGGATTTGTGAACCATATAGGTTCACTTATAGGAGGTTGCCAATTGCATGCCAAGTAGGCAAGTAGCCATGCCAATTGCATGCCTATCACCATTCAAAACACTTGTGCCGTCCACCATTCAAAAACACTTTGTTTATTTTTTCTTCTCTTCTTGTCAGTAACCCATTCAAAACTTTTTATTTTTTATATTATTTTTCTTTCTTTTTCCCACATGGTGCCGGGACGGAAACCAACGGCAAGCTGGCATCAAACAGGGGCAAACACGTAATTTTAATGTGCAACAAAGAAAGGAACTTGAAATCTGGCATCAAATGAGGGGCAAATCCATCATTTCACTGTTGGTGAACAGTGCTTCCTCTCACATGATGAACAGTGATCTTTTCTGCTGAACTTTAGTATATATAATAATATATATATACATATATTATGTTTTATCCTTTTCGGTGTCAGAAACCATGTGCTTGTGTTTGTCTTCTAACATTTTTTAATCTTAGATTTTTGTCCACTACAAACCTTATCCAAAGCAGATGAGAGACGTGGGCAGGGAAGGACAAAACAGACTTTTTACTGTAGCAAAGTGTGAACAGTACGAATTCAAGGTCATTCCCACCCTTTAACTGTTGATGAACAGTGCACGCTCTCACATAATGAACAGTGCCGATCAACTGGACTTTGGCATATATAAATAAATATACACACACATATATATACTATGGTTGTTGTATTTTATAGTTAAATTTTTTTAATAGTTTAAAAAATTAAAATCATCGAAATAATTTTTTTTTAACGTATCAAAACGATTTACCCGAGTGTCACTCTCGTGTAAACTTGTTAAAGATACATTATTAATGAGTTCTTATCGTGTGACCTAATAACAATCCAATTAATTATTGTATTGATCCAAAACTCTTTATTTTTATGTTTATGTGTCGTGTTAACAAATCATGTAAAAAAATGTCCGGTTTACTTTTCAACTTTAAATTATTAGTTCGTTCAATGTTGGTGTCTCTTTGTCTTTTGGTTTAAAAAATGCACCTGTCAACTATCATCGTCATCGAATAGTCTGTCAGTCTTCCAAGGAAACTTGTAAGTATTTTCATCCGGAACACTGCCAAAACCAAGACCACAATTTCTGTCAAAGTATTTCATACACGTGAATAATTATTGTGGTGCGATTTCTGGAACGAGAATTCTCTCCGAATCCTCCGCTTTGTGAGGATTCCGAAAATTCTTTAATCGTGTCTGTTTATCATATATGATACGATTATTTTTTGTCAGATACTTATTATCCACGACAGACATGAATAATTTCCACACAAAGTAACTAAAACGATGGGGTATTACCTAAGAACCAATGAAGTGAAACTTTGCTTGCTATGTATGGATATGCATGCTATAAGAAACCATTCATTTGTAGATCATATTACGTCATCAGTATTATACTCATACTCTCAGGTGATCAACCTACTACATGAGGAAAACACGGAAAAGGCAAAGCATAAAAGTAGAAGACAATATTTGAGCATCTAGCAGGAATAGTTAGTTTTTGAAAAAAATTGCTAAACAGTCTTACAAATTCAATTGTTAAACGTTACACTATGACCTAAGATAAAAATAAAGTATAGGGAACTTTAACGAAAAACTCCCGGTACAGTTCACTTTAACGAAAAACCACATTTTTACACTAAAAAGTCAATTCTAATACTATTCTCTTTACCCTTTATTTTGTCCTTATCGTTAAAACTCAAAGTTTTCAAGTCATTTTCATTAGTTTTCCTTGAAGTTATATAGTTCATTCACATATCAAAACGAAGTACTATCAAAGGAAAATGATTAAGAAGTTGAAAATACAAAACTGGATTGGGCAACCATATCTTTTATCGGTAACTAAACAAATAATTTAGAATTGTACAAACCCGATTCTAGCTCATCTGCCTCCTCTCATCCTCAGCTCTGTATTTCAAAGGCTGAGTAGCCACGTTTGGAGAAGTTGTCAAATAATCACCATCTGAAGATTGAGAATAACCTCCATTCACATTGCAAATTTTTTTTTAGAAAATGGGACAAATTAACAGATTTAGAGTTAATTATTCTGATGCAAACATTCTTAAGATAAATTAAGCAGAAAAAATGAAACGAATCCAATGAAAATATAGAAGGAAAATGATTTAAAGAAAAGTTAAACTTTAAATACATCAAATTAGTGATTAATCAACTAGATAGTTAGTCTCAAACCAAAGAGTCTCAATGATCTCGCAATACCAGGGACATCACTCTCCCTGTTAACTCTCAACTCCTCAACTCCATCACTCTCTCCCCCATTGTTTCTAATTCACCTCTCCTTCGAACTCTTCGACTACAAATTTATATATAGCAACTTGAACTGTCCATTTCAAATCATATATACATAGGCAAAAAAGCAAAAACTAAACTCCTGCCGCATAAATTAATTGGTAACCAAACAAAGAAAAATTCTTGGAGACCAGAACAAATCCAATTGAATTTTCATGAAACGTATACTTAAGTGCCCAAAATTTGAGTTTTACATCATATTATGTTCTTCTTACACAAACAGTTTCTCGGCTGTTAGGTAATTTTTGTGGCTTTTGATCAATAGTTGTACTTATATACCCAAAAAAATAAAATAGTCAAACACAAATGAAAGAAAGACCTATCAAATTAATAAGAAATCCAAGTTAGAGTTGTTAAAATTCACTTTCATCTATACAATTCAAACTTCGACATATTTGTTCATACACTTCACCAACTGTCAGACACTGCTAATTACCAAGATAGCAAGATAATGAATTCTGTGAACAAAAAAATGAAAAATGATATGCAATTTGAACTTACATGCCAAAGAAGCTCCATAAGAGTAGTAGCTTCCTGCTTATTGCATGCATCAAAAGCATTGCAACCGCAGATCCTGAAAATTATCAAAATTCATCCAGTCAAGAGGCAATATCATAGTTGTGTGAAGGTGAATATGCAACCAATAATCTAAGATATACCTGACAAATTTGCAATTTCATTATAATTTCACACAAAAAAAAGATCAAATTTTGATTCAAACATCAAACAAAATAATCCCATCTGTTACAGATTGGACCAACCAAATAAAGAATCTATTAATATGATTTTTGTGACAGCCCGTCCCTGATTTTAAGAGTTTTAAAGTTTTAATAAAGGATTTACAAAAATGCCCTTTGAGGCACGCGCATTATTCGAGGTTAATCGTTGTGTCGTGCCATCTAAGATTTATTTTCTTGACATATCCTCGTAGTATTCGTCACTACGGACGTGTGGGCGCTGACGGTTCATGATTTGGAGTTATATCGAAAAAGTTATTAACGTTTGAAATTTGGGATTTTAAGGAATTATAATTTTAGTAAAATTTAGAATTTCTTTTATGAAAATGGACGGCCCAGATTTAATGAAGAATTAAATGGATGGTTGGGATGAGAGAAAGAAGGTTTTATGTGTGTAAGTGTGTGTGCGTGACTGGTGAAGAAAGAAGAAGAATGAGGATTGGGCAAAACTGCCCAACCAGAAGGAATAAGAAGACAGCTCCGGGAAAGAAAGGAGAGAAGTTGGGCGAATGGGGAGAAGAGAGAGAAGCTTTTGGCCAATCAGAGAAGGGGAAAGGAGGAAAGGAGAGAGGGCGAGAAGCGGAGGAAGAAGAACAGAAATGGGTTTTCAACCCATGACCCGCGCGACCCGGTGGGTTTTCCACCCATTTCCGTCGAAATTTCTTCACTTTTCCGGTGAGTTACTTCAAACTATCACTTGGAAAACCCTCTATGATCTTCCCTCTTCCTATTACACCCAAAAAATCAAGGAATTTGGCCTTGAAATTGGTTGAAACTGTTCGGTGTGTGCGGTGGCTTAGTGTACAAATTCTTCAAATCTTGAAACGTTTTCTTTCAATTACTAACACCTTTAGCATTCCCTTAGGACCTAGAACAAAGCCCAAGCATTGGTTGGGACGACGGAGTTGATTTGAAGGTCGAATTGAAAACACCCAATCTAGGGTTCCACACGGATTGTGGTGAAATTGAAGTGTTTCCAGGCCAAATTGGCCTTGGCCTCAGGTATAAAGTTTACACTACTCACTGAGATCTTCAATTCTGTATTTTTTTAGAATTTTTGGAAATAGTTGGATTTTACGGTGAGCCGGGGCGGCCAACCGCCACCCTCGGCAGCCCGTGGCCAATGGCCCGCCAATGTCATTCTTAGTATGTGTTTAAGGTTCTAGGTTCAGTTTTTATAATTGATGGACGTAAATTGAGTAATTGAACCTAAGTTCGTTACGATTCGTGGTTAGGTGAAAATATGAATTGACGATCCGACCGTTTGATCGTCACCAAACTTTGATACATTGTAATACGTAATATTTGAAGATTATAGGAACTTATGGATTGGGAATCCGATTTACGAATCTTCCGGAATTGGAGTTGTAAGTTCATAAAATAGAATGTTAACCTTCACTTGGTTTTGGAAATTGACGGAGATCCGACCGTTGGATGGTAATGAAATTTTAGGATGTTGTCCTAGAGGTATATTGTGGACCTTTGGAAGTTATGGATTTGAAATATGAGTTGCAGATCTTTCGGATCGAACTACGTAGTGACGTGTTTTATATAAGTTATATATTCTATCGATATGATTTCTGAGGTTGAATTTGATTATTGTTCTAGGCGCCGATCGTCATAACGCCTTGATGTGTTGTGCTAAGGAGTTGTTGGGCGAACTCCAGGTGAGTGGGCAGTATTTCTGTTTATACCTATATACTATTTATATTTTTCCCAGAAATTGAGTTTAAATGAAAGTACGTTTTAAAATGTCATGCATGCATATTATGGGATATATGAATTGATAATTGATGTGTGTATATATATATATATATATATATATATATATATATATATATATATATATATATGTGAATTGGTGCTGTGGACGCACATGTGAGTATCATGTGAGTTTTATGTTATTCATGTGAATCATTGATGATGTGAATTGTGTTGAGAGCTCATAACCTGCACCCCTGGTGTTAGTGCTTATATGATTCACCGCACCGCACGCTCACCTTGGATCCAAGTAGGTGCATGTCGTACAGACCATGAGAGTGTTCCGACATGCTAGTCGTATAGATCACTAGAGGTGGTTCCGACTAGTAGGTGACTTTAGATTATGTGCACAGATGATTGATGAGAGAAGCACTAGAGCGTATTCTTACACCATTCTTATCATACAGACTACTTTAAGTAGTTCTGATTTATGTGCAGAGTAGTGTCGTACAGGTCACAGTGGTGACTCCGGTTGGATTGGATATTGAGCTATAGAATTAACCGTACAGGACCAACTGCAGGGTCTCCGGTTGATTCTTTATTTCACCTATTATATTGATGCATCCATATTCTGTTTTTGACATTATAGCATGACATACTTTCTGGTTTTGATAAAGATTGATGATTTGAGATATTTGAAGGTATATGCTATTATGTTATTTTCTGAGAAAATATACAAGTTTTACAACGAGGGGTTAAAAATGTTTTAAATGAAATATTTTCGAAAAACTTTCGTTTTACTGACCCACTCAATTTTGTTTTGCGCCCCTCCAGGTTCTAGATAGCAGAGCTTTGGTGGCCACGAGGAATCCAACGGTGTTCTGACAGAATTCACAAAAGTAGGACTCACCCTCGGGTGTTTCATCTTAGTAATTGTATTTTTAAAGCTTCCGAACTGTGTAAATGGTTGCGTCACACTCACGTGACGGCCAGCATGCCCTCCTTCGGGACGGGGTGTGTCAATTTTCAACCTAACTATAAAAAGGAGATTTATAACGATCAATATAATTTCAACCCAACTGAAAAGAAACTAATTGTGTATCATAAATTCCATGGGTAATTTGATTTTGCAGATTAAAAAGAATTGAAGAATACTAAAAATTACAAAACCCTATCACAACATACCATCAGCGATGAATTAAATCCAAATGTAAACTGCAGTTTCTTATAAAGCATATCCAAAAGTAAATTGCAGTTTCCTATCTCTCCGAGCATCTAAACAGAAACTGTAATTCAAAACTCTGATTTCAATAACCCAAAAAGTTTAAATTGCTCACCGTTCTCTTGACCGTGGATTACATTAAGTATATGGAGTTTAAAATTTAAAAACAAAAAAACAAAAAAACAAAAAACAGATAACAAATAGGGAGTAAGAGATCAAACAATGAGTGGTTCAATTAACCTTTTTCTGTTGGTCGCGTCTGTGAATCCTTTAATTTGCAGAATGAGCTTGGGAACTCTTCCCACCAAACTCCCACAATCAACACTCCTGCGTCAAAAGGGAAAGGAAAAACAGTTGAATATTTGAACTGCACCAAACAGATTGATTGATAAAAAATAAACGAACATGACACGACCAATGAATTTCACCAAACGGGAAGTAATAAAATATTCGACACTGAATGAGTTGGAATAAAAACAAACACAACTGCATTTTCTTATTCTTCTCCCACGTTCATGAGGCTTCTTTTTCATCTTTTTCTCTTCTAATTTCAAAGAACACAACAATTAGCACAGCCTGCTATAAGGTAGAGGAAGCACATGGGTCTCCTCAAAATGGATGTCCAGGGTTGACCCTTATGCAAAAGGAAGCATGGGGAGCATAAATGGGATATCAAGAGAGGATGTCAAGTAAATTTGCAACACAAAACCCAACCAGCAACAATTTGTTCATGACATCTTAAAACATCAAATTTCAAAATAGGACATTTAATGCAGAGAGCTCAAACTATAATAATTGGTGAATCAAATATTTTCTATTGAATTTATCCTTTCAATTGGTTGGTATTTTCGTTTATCCTCGTATCTTTCAATTGCCACCCAAAACTAACATCTGAGAGAGCATTGCACTTCTTATCTTTAAAAGCACGAATGGTGAACTAAATCAAAGAATAAGAATCAGCAATGAACTAAACAAAAACACACTTTTTACGAACATTATTCGCACAAAAATTAAAACTGTATTGAGAAACTCACCACCCCATTTCTAATGAATGACGTATGATGATAGGAACATCATACAGTGAATTGCACATAAAGTAAAACATCAAGTATACCTCAAGGTGACATTAGATACGATCATTATCCAGTCTTCATCTTTGACACCAAGAGCACTCAACATCTCAGAATTCCTCATCTCCCTACCCTCACATAGCACCTTCTGCTGCTGAAGCAGTACCCGTGTCTGCTCATACGCATCGAAGAACATATCACACATTCAATATACATTTCTCTATTAATTAATCAGCTAACTAAATTTAAAATTAGCTTCCAAACCAAAAAAATTTCTAAATTTTTTATTTTGCAATCACACCCAGTTCTTCATCTCTTACTCTAAATCCCAATTACAAAAATATCTAAACTTTACTTCAATTTAATATTGTTTTCCCCAAAAACAGCACAATCCCATAAAAATAAAGTTAAAAAAAAACAACAATAAATCATGAATTAAATTAAACTTCTCACCTCCACCTCCAACAGAGTTTTCACATTCTCAACCTATCATAAAAATAGATAAAAAAAAATCAAATCAAATTCAAGTAAAAGTAAAAAAGAGAACTTGAATATAGCAACCCTACTCCACCCAGTTCTTCATCTCTTACTCTAAATCCCAATTACAGAAATATCTAAACTTTACTTCAATTTAATATTGTTTTCCCCAAAAACAGCACAATCCCATAAAAATAAAGTTTAAAAAAAGACAACAATAAATCATTAAATTAAACTTATCACCTCCACCTCCAACAGAGCTTTCACATTCTCAACCTGTCATAAAATAAAAAAATAAAAAAAATCAAATCCAAGTAAAAATAAAAAAGATAACTTGAATATAGCAACCCTACTCCCCCTCCTTCTCCCTCTCCCTCTGCAATTCACGCGTGCACCCCCTCCCTCTGTAACCCTCCCCCTGCGAAACCCCTAAACCCCACACGTATGCCCTATATCTTGTGGCTACAACCTCACAAATCGTCCCCATCACCTCGATCCCATCGAACCACAAATCAGGCACAATTTATGAGAGTAATTGTAAAAATGGATAAAACACTTTAAATAAAAGTTTTATAAAAAAGCTTTTCAATCCAACACCATCCAAAACCATAAAAGAACAGAATAAAGACACCAAAAGTAAAAAATAAATAAATTTCCACATTCAACTTTCACAGTATAAAAAACACAACTTTCACGATATTAAGAAAAAAAATTGTTGGAGAAAAGGCTCAAAGGAAAAATCCAAAATTATTTACCTTGAGCATAAAGGGCTTTGAAAGATGTAAACAAAAGCCCCAAAAAACGAAGAGCATAGTGACCTGAAATAAAAAAATAAAAGCAAATTATACAACCGAAAGATCTAATGATATAAACAAAATACCCAAAATTATAAAAACAAAATTACAAAAAATGAAGAACAATGTGTTCTGAAACGAAAAAAAAAGAAAATCATATGCCCAAAATTATAACGGACGATTTCATATTTTGTAGATAGATGACACTCCCTTTTGTCATGTATGATAAATATTCAAAGTTATAACATCTCAATTCCACATAAGGCAATAAACAAACCTTTGGAGAGATGCCAGTGGACAGTCAAAAGCTGGGTCTCATGTTGTGGCAACGACTCATGCTGCTGTTCATCGATCATTGCAAAAGAACGCAAAGTTCTATATTGCTATAGTACATACTAGAGATTTATGCCCGCACGTTGCTGCGGGATTGGAAATTGTATCAAATGGTCTAGATTAAAAAAATCAATTCAATCAAGATCCATATTCTCAACAAACAAACTGTAACGGAGAACGTGATAGGATTTGATCACAATGCACAGCGGAATCAACAACTAATATTCAACACTACACAATCCAAAACAGTAATGATATTAAGTTTTTTTTAAAACCTGATTGTACTAAGTGATTCTTTCAATAATATGATAAATTAAATAAAAAGATCACTACCAATAGTTTAGATTAAAACAATCAATTCAATCAAGATCCAGACTCCAACAGGACAACTAAAAGCAAAGAGTTGAGGGAAGAAACAACACAAATGACTGGTTCCCCGAAAACCATTTAAGTAGAGTTAAAAAAAAGGGGTTAGTCGTGACCAAATTTAAGAAGTCACTAAAACCAAAGCTCAATTGCAAACCTCCTTGTATTCCATGTATGCAATGACTCTGCTAATATGTTCACAGTCATGTTGACCTGTATAAAGAAAAACTCATTTAGTTCATAGCAAATTGTGAGTCATTCTGAATATAAAAACTTCCTTTTTCAATCACCCATCTAAATAAAAAAATCAACTCCAAAATTGATGGTCAGAAGTATAACTAAATGAAATGAGAAAACAGTTCAAGAACCTGCCAATGTCAAGTACTATGAATTTGTGGGATTAAAAATTGTATGAAAGATTGTGTCATAGAATATTACTAAAATTTACATTGAAAACGTTAGAAATTTTTTTACACACAATATACTCATTTACAAAAGAAAACAGAGCCACTGAAACGAACAGGGATATCAACCAATCATCGCAGTACAAAACCAGTAAATACAGAATTCACAGAACTGAGTGACTCTTACACAATCCAAACATAGAATTTTAGATTGTTGGTATAAGATGATTAACTCTAATTACACTAACGCGGACACTATCTCTGAAGAAAACTAAAGAGAAGGACAAAAGTTGTGAAGAGTTATCAACCAAAGTACAAAGACCATAAAGCATGAAATGTTAAAGAAGAGCAGATTTCCACGCAAATGATGCATATTGCTGTCATAGCTCTGAGAATAGCTAACTAAACCAATCTAACTCTAAAGGCAGCCATCATAAATTAGAAAGCTCATTCGACAAAAGGCTATATTAAAAAAAGGTTCATGTATATGCCCAATTACACAAACAATTTTGCTAAGGAATGCCTTTCCAACCTCCTCCTACAGCAACAGACTCTGCATGTACAATTTGATAGTGTTTCTACCAGATAATATAGCCAATGGGATTAACAATTATTAAAGTTGACCCTCCACTACAACTATCCATTCTGCTATATATTCATTCTCTTGCAAAACGTTCAAAAGGATGATAAGAAAATCTTGTGTATATAAATTATAGCCGATGGTATATGTCCGTTCTCTTCTACCATTACAACCAATGAGATATATACATTCTCTTCTACCATTAAGACATATAAGAAAATAACTATTTAACCGAAAATGAAGATCTAAAAGCTAGCCACTGTACATGTTCTGTCCATTCTATTCTACCATTGAAGCATGCATGTTAAAAAAAATTTGTAAATCTAAACGCTTATTTCAAACAGAGCATGTCCATTCAGCTCTTAAAACCGAAGGAAAAGATTTAGGTTTCTTTCTTACCCAAATCCACCAATTTGAATCAAATCTCTGCAACCCTTCCAATCAAACGCAAATTAATACAACCCTGCAATCAATAAACAAAACAAACATAAAAAATTCAACAAAGAAAGAGAATCCAGAAACCAAACCTATCAATCAATTCCTAAAATCAACAATAAAAAAAAAATCAATAAATTAGTATCTAACTCCACAAATAAACAAAGCCCATATCAAATAATGAAATCCAGCGAGTACCTCTAGAGTGAGAGAGACTTACAGGGATCGCAGACGAAAACAGAGAATAACACCAAAAAAATGGGTACTGACTTAGGGGTTTTAAACGCAACATGCAGCAACTATTTATTTTTCAAAGGGTTTTAAACGCAAGAAATTTGCACAGATGATTTGGCTAAGAAAAATGAGAAAATCGAAAACGGAGAAAAAGGCAGGCGGAAAAACAATGAGAGAGAGAGAGAGAGAGAGATGTGAGGGATGAGGGATGAGGGATGAGGGGATGAGGGATGAGGGGAACTCGACCCTTGGTGGTTGCTCGGGGGACAGGCGAAGGGAAAGGGCCCGAGGGCCGGTGGATAGAGCTCTAGCGTTGGGCAGCCCGAGTGAAGGTGGGAGCTCGAGGGCTAGGCCGTGGAGGATTGCCAGCCCTGCAGCCCGAGGTGGGTGTGACGTCAGGCTGACGCCAGGCCTGGCGTCGGTTTTTTTTTTATTTTTTTTGTGTCAGGCACGTGCCCCTCACTTGCGAGTGGGGGCGCGTCAGACAACAGCTTTACAGGGCACAGGGCCTGTGCGCCAGTTTCAGCAGGTGGTCGTTGGAAAGCCACGTGGCTTCCCACGATCCGTTCGATTTCAACGGCTCTTTAATCTGAGCTGTCCGATTTGCAACGGTAATAAAAAAACTAATTTAATATCAACCGTTCGATTTGAGATTAACGGTTGATATTAATCTGCTTTATAAATTAAAAAAAATAGTTTTAAAATTAAGAAAAGTTACCGTTGTGACACGTGGCACAATCTGGAGTGTTAGAATTCAATTTTTTTAAATCCAACGGCAGAGATTAATTATTTGAATAAAAAAATTTAAAAATTGTAAAAAATCTGAAAAAAATATCTGAAATTTTTTTTTAAAATGTTTCTACTTTTCTATAAATACATTCTCATTATCATCTACCTTACACCACAATTTCATATTTTCTCAACTACTTTCAATCACATTCCTATCTTTCTCTCAAAGTTTCAATCCAATTTTTTTCAACAAAACGACACGTGGCACGATGACATTGGATAAAAATCTTATCGAAATCTATGACCAATAATAGTCGTTTTGGGTAAATGACATATGGCGCAACGAGAATGATTTAAAATATCTTATCCGAAATTACAAATAAATTTATTTAGTATTATTTTGTAAAAAAAAATAATAATAATTTTTTATTGCCTATTGCCAGGGCTATTCAAGTGCAACGGTGGAGATGCAAAAGGCAGTTACTGTTTATTAGGGTAGTTACTGTTCACATGGTGGATTGAATAGTGGATTGCCTGGGGGAAGGCTCCAAGGGTGGAGTTACTCTGAGAGAGAGGGGGACATATGGGAATGGCAGAGAGCAGTGAGGGATGAGAGAGAGTGACAGTGTTGGGAGATAGGAAGTCTCAAGGGGTGGAGAAAATATTAGAAAGCAAAAACCAAACACACTTTTCATATGTTTTAATCATTTTTTTCTCTCTAACCAATTTTTTTATTATTTTTTATCCTTTTCGATGTCAGAAAACATGTGCTTGTGTTTATCTCCTAACATTTTTTTAATCTTATTTTTTTGTCCAATACAAACCTTATCCAAAGCTGATGAGAGACGCGAGGCAGGGAAGGACAAAACAGACTTCTTACTATAGCAAATTGTGAACAGTACGGAAACCAAAGCAGAAACCAAGGGCATTCCTGCCCTTTCATTGTTGGTGAACAGTGCACGCTCTCACATGATGAACAGTACTGATCAACTGGGCTTTAGAGCAGCTCCAGTGGGAGCTCGTGCTTGAGGGACAAGCTGCAGAACAGGGCTTGATTGCACGAGGGAGGAAGTCCAGCGTTGGCTGGCGAATGAGCCCGAGCAGGCCCAAGCGCCAGGCTCGTGGATTCGTGCCGGCCCGAGCACCCGAAGGGGATGTGACGTGGGCTGACGTCCCTGACGTCAGCCACAATATAAATTAATAAAAATACAAAATATTAATAAAAAATACAAAATTAATACAAAATTTTAAAAAAAATGAAAACCCAGGCTTCGAACTGAACGACTCTCGCCGGAGTTCGTCATTGAGGTTGATGATACACCCACAAACAAATGGCAGAGACTAAACCCAAGGGTTTCAACTCGAAACATATAAAAAAAACAAGAGAATAACTCAAGCAATTGAAGTAGGGTAATAACCTCATCTGGGTTTGAGCAATGGAAGCTTGAAGCTCTCGGCTTCAATGGTGGATCACCCAAATGGTGCTCTGATGATGCATGCAAGGATATATTCGAGTTCCTCTCATCCAGGAGATTGAGATTTCAGAGTTTGTTGGTTTGATTTGCTTCGGTTTCGAAAAAGATGAAGGATGAAAATGAAGGATATATGGATTGGAATTTGAGCTTGTGCCTTGGCGTTGGTCCATTTTTTGATTCATGTGAGAGAGAGAAAGAGAGGGAATAGGAAAAGGGAGAGTGTTCTGGAAAAAAAAATGAAAAGGAAGAGTTCTGGAAAAAAAAGGAAAAGTGAGTGTTCTTTGGAAAAAAAAAAAGAAAAGGAAAAGGAATAGGAAAAAGGAAAAAAATTAAAAATGATTTTGTATTATGTTATAGATAAAAAAACTAATATTTTATTGCTTATTACCAGGGCTATTCAAGTGCAACGGTGGAGATGCAAAAGGCAGTTACTGTTCATTAAGGGCGGTTACTGTTCACACGGTGGATTGAATAGTGAATAGCCTGGGGGAAGGGCTCCCACGCTAAAGTTGCTCTTAGTATATATAAATAAATATTGAATCAATTCCAAAAGGGTATTTATAGTAAAAAATATGCCACATATACTTTTTCTTAGAATGTCAGTCCCATACTTCTTCGTAAAAACATTAACAGTAGCTATAGCCTATAAAAATAGAAAATCAACTGTTTACCTGCATCATCACAGAATGGCAGCCACAAAAATTACCCAGGTAAAAACTGAATGGAAAAACTACCTGTCTCATGCCCTCAGAGAGGCATGGGATCTTTTATCAGTGCAAAATTGATTTGATATCATTTTGTAAAAAAAATTAGAAAGCATAAAATAGATGAAAATTAAGGCTTACATGGTGAACATTCTTTTTTTGCTTGTCATACCATTGAATTTTTATTGCATTCGCAGATGATATGCAAGGGCTGTCAAAGCAAAAGATATATGTTCTCAAATTGTTAATGGAAATGGAAACACAAAGGAAAACAGTTATTCATATCTAATGACCAAATAAAACAGTTGCATAATATATGTTCTAACCAAATAAAAGTAGGCCGACTTGGTACCATTCAAGAAAGCCCTATCCGCATTCACCACATCTGCATATAGTAGCATTTATGGGAAGCGTGAAAATCATTGTTGATATATCATATATCAACAACCATCCTTATAGAGATGTGACAACAAACCAACCTGAACGAAATGTAGTCAGATCGATTGGCGAAAGTTATTATCCATTTCGTATCCTACTTTAGCACTGGAAATAGATGCTTTAAAATATTTGCTGCCCTTTCACCCAACTATGAACAATCAAGAAAATAAAATCATATTCAATAGAACAGTAACTACGCAAGCTAACTCAAAAAGATGTATTGATGCAGTGATATAAGTGTACATAAGATTAAGACGTAGCAGGAATGGATAGATCAGAATTAATAAGAATTAATCAGGGAGGGAGGGAGAGAGAGAGAGAGAGAGAGAGAGAGAGAGAGAGAGAGAGAGAGAGAATTATATCACAATCAAGGTAGGTTATCAACTATAATCAATCATCCTCATCCCTCAACCGTTATAAACTATCTCTAATTGGATCAATGGGGTCTGATCAATCTTGGCATAATGTACGGAGCAAAGTAAGCAATCAAGATGCTGGAATATTTAATTGAGATATAATACCTTGGTTGTGAAACTGTCAAGTATCAGATGTGGATAAACCTGCATTCACATGGCTTCCCTTTCTCCAGCCAATACCACACAGCATCATGCTCATCCTCTGCGATTAAAATACAACAACGAAAAAATCAAAATTATAGCAATTCAAAATTTAAAAGAATCATTTTTTTTTAAATGAATCAGTGAACAAGCATAGATTTGCACATAGAAAGAGAAAAGAAACAAGGAAGATAGGAATACCCACTCTCTGTCACCCCTCTGCAAGCCCACCCACCCTCCCAACCAAATTGTTTGAGACAGATGAAACCCTAACCCCAACTCTCCTAAGGATGCAATCAGAGCTTCGGGTTTCAGGAAGCAAATGAAAAACGAAGTGCGTTTTCATCCCTCACCCTTTCTACGATCGTCGACACGTGCACGGGAGAAGCGGTGACAATTTAGTAAATAAATCAAAATTTTCAATCTGAATGGAAGAGGTGGTGGTAATTTTGTAAATAACTCAAAATCCACCCCAAGTCACTGTTCATTTGTACAGTGCAATTTCTTCTTCTTCTTTTTTTTTTGGACAAAGGCTTACTTTATTTATTGGGTAAATATCAGTTTACTACCCTCAAGTTTCGTAGTTTTCAACATTTAGTATATGAAGTTTTTTTCGTCTCAGAGTCATACATAAAGTGTTAATTTTGGAACAGTCTCCTACATCCGTTAGTTTAACTATTAAATCAGTAGTTAACTGATGACGTGGCACCACATGGACAATGACTGGGCGCCACGTGTCAATATAACGCCCACGTGAATATTAAAAAATTAAAAAATTAAAAATTAAAAAAAAAATATGGGCACCCACCCATTCCCCCTCCCTTCTTCTCCTTCCCTTCTCTTCCCTGCACCCATCGTCCCCGCACACCCACCCATTCCCCTTATTCTCCCTCCCTTCTCTCCTCTGCACCCACCCACCTAAAATCAAACCACATAAAAAAACACAAATTTCCCCCCAAAATTTCTTACCATCTAAACACCCTCTGCTTCCCCCTCTTTCTCTCCCAGATTTTATTTGTATCCCTTACATCCCACACTTTCTCACGCTTTCCCGGAAAATTTTTCATCTTCAAATCTTCAACATGAGGCAATAGAAAGGTATGCCGCCTCATTGGGACCTACCAACTCCGTTCGTCGAGCTTTCAAAGGATTCAAATCGCAGTTGATTTGGAGAAAGAGATCTATATGATGAACAATGATTTCAGATTGGATGGAAAATCGGATGCCACTGGAGAGGCCGAGGAAGCTAGAGCTACGGTTTCCTAAGGCGCGTCGGTAAAGATGGAGCTAGGTTTTGCCAATGAAGCTTGTTTCGGGGAGTAAGGTTGGCGGAAGATCTGAGGAAGATAGGGCTAGGGTTGGTACGAATAGTGAAGTTGGAAATGTAGATAAAGTGATGGAATCAAATGGTTCTGGAAGCATGGTGGCGGAATGAAGGGTCACTCAGGTCTCGTAGGGTTGGAG